ACAGTGTTTATCCGTAGGCTTTATCCTGCCTAGAAATCTCTTAAGTATAATATCTTCACACATTCTAAGGCATTTCATATCATGTTTAATGTGGCTTTATGCAAATAAAGTATCATTAATAAAATATATTGCCGGTATTGTGATTTTTATTTAATAATTTTGAGTAACAATAAAATGTGTTACCTCTCTTTCCTTATTTAATTACAAAAGCTTCAAGGAAAAATACTTTTGTCGAAAAATATTGTGTGCAATTGTTTAGTAATAGTATATTGGCTAATGTAAGAAATTAAAGGTTCAAGAAGAAATGGGAAGGATCATGGCAACTTGCGCAGAGTGACAGAATGTGGGAGAGATTCAGCAATAACTGTGGGTACCACTGACTGTAGAAAAATAGTTATGTTACAACCCATGTATGACAAACTGGTGATGAAGAAAAGTTGATCTTCTCAGAATACTTCCATACAATGACCGCAGATACTTGGAACAGTTATGTCCAGTGATTCTGTCTTGCGGTAATAATTTGGGTATTAATAGATTGATCTTAAACAATCACATGTGTCGCTTTTGAAATTAGTATGTGCAATTCAACCGACAGAAATATGTTATGATTAGTATTTCGTCATAAGCAGCAAAACGTTCCAGAATAGGTGTATTAATCATGATATGTATTCTATGGTATTGGCAGAAAGTGCAATTGAGTACAGTCATGTATATAAGAAACAGCTTTGACTGATAAGTTTCTTTTTAAATTGGATGTAAAAGAGTAGTATGTATCAATAGAAGGGTATAGAAAGAGTTTTAATTAGTTGTGCATTATGCAAATGTGTCATAACATCAAAGGTAGCGGATGAGAGATGGCCGCCACAAAAGTTAGAGCAAAAAGTGCATCATAATGTTTCTTAATCAGCCGGGCATTTTGATGGTATTAAATCTTATTGCCAAGATCTATCTTTGGTAGGCAATATGTTTTTTTTACATTAGCACATATACTATAAACCACATTTTAAAAAAACAAACGTCTAACATATTTATCATCGGAGGAACCATGATCTTTACCGCAAATTTCATTTAGTAAAATGTCATTATCAGTTGGGTAAGACAACAATCATACTGATTGATAAATCACGTTTCACAGTACGAAGTAATTATATTTATATTATTAGTCACTTGATTAATTATCCATTATTTAATTTGAGTAAAGCTCAAATTTCTTTGTCTTTTAAGTATGGGCGATTGTCCAAAGTTTATTGCTGCACCAAATCTGATGCAAATTCTTTTAGACGTGTAGAAACTACCTCGAATTTCTCTATAATCTACTTTTAATAAAAGATCAGTTGAAATGTATAACATATACACCTCTTACTACACCATGGCTCGTCAGTCTGGTCTTTGTCGTCCAAAAGCTGCCTTCATGGACGAACCACACAACGCATTTTCCTTAACAAAATGAACTTGTTAAAATTGAACGATTAAATCTGTCGTACAAAGCAAACGTGACAGGAACCTGCCTTTCAGAGGCAACACATTGTAACCTGATGAATGTATGACATTCTCTCTCCTTCAAATCTCGAACTGGATTCGATTATCATAATCTATAATCTATAAACGATGAGTTAGAAATCCCATGCCAGTGGCTAGCGATAGGCTTCCGGACGCAGATATGTTTATAAAACCGAGAATGTTAATGAATACATGACACATTTTATGGATAACAACTTCTTTTATTCTTTGTCACGATGTTTCAGAGCTACTTCTTACTCCTTCATCAGGTATATATATATATATATACACACCTGATGAAGGAGTAAGAAACAAATCATTATATATATAATGATATGTTTACACAGAACACGGTGTGGTGAATGTACAAAGATAACAATATATTAACAAAGCCAATAAGATGGGATTAGTGTACAATGTACAAAGATAATAATGTAATGAAGAAGCCAACGAAACCAAATACTTCATTAGAATGTTAAGTTAATGCTAAACTTGTTTTTCATTATAATAACGTCCCCATACCACCAGTTCAGCTTTGTAGTTGTATGTAATGTTTTTGTGTATGTTGATTATTATGATGGGTCATATTCACCTCCAGCCAATCCATTTCTTACATGTATTTCAAGCTTCTAAGCCCAACCTTGAAGTTCCTATGAGAACTCGAAACAGCGTCCAAATTTCGATTGGTGAAGCTTCCAACTTGTATTTAGCATCGTAAAATCTACAAGCAGCAGGATCATTCATAGAAAAAGAAATACAGTGCATTTTTCTCAAATATTACCACTTTGGTGAAATTAGTCAGACTGAAGCTTGAATATATCGCATAAAGCAATATCCTGCAGCTGAAGTCATTGCTAAACAGGTACGTCAGAATTAAAAGGTGGTACATTAATGTCGCCTATGGCTTCTTAAATGTCTGCACGTCACGTGTTGTGCAATTGGAGACATGTTACGTGGCAGAGCAAGCAGTGCACCTGCAGCGGGTGTGACATAGAGGGCATACATGTATGTGCTGTCCGTCAATGATGTGTTCTGTTACCCTTTTATTTGTATTCCCGTTCTTTTTAAATAATTTGTTACTTTTTGTGTATGTCTTTCAAAGGATATCCTTTTACATGCATAATATGTACGCATAATGCTACTTCTCTTTGCCGATGCAATAAACGTGGTGTCGGTTGCAGTTGAGGTTACCAGCATCTATTACATCAGCATGAATATCATTGTAAGACACGGAACTTTTAATATAAAATAGCAATAAACCGAAACAAACACTGTCTCACGAATTGCAACAGTTTCAAGGGGCGAGAAATTGATATACCATTGTAGCTCTAATGAGGTACACATGGTACATATACTGGCCTCCTCTCTACCGTGATATAAATTCAAAACTGCAACGCCAGAAAGTAATCAGTCTTGAATATCTGCAAGAACAGTTGCATTCGACATAGTTTTTCTTGCGTGTGTAATGTATGATTTCCAGATCTTACCAAAAAAACGGCGACGTAATGTAGACACCATTTTTGACGTAATATGTCACGACGTCACAAGAGATGATGCTGTAACAGCTTACGAGGGCTGGTCAAAAAGTTCTAAGCACGACTAACTTCAACTATTAGCCGTAACAATGTGAACTTGTCAATGTAGTACATTTTTTAAATAGTTCATTGCAAGGGCATTTGGTCTGTTGAGGCCGTTTGTGTATACTGATAGCCATTTGAACGTGATATGGGTCCAAATGGACACCGAAATGGAAGCAGTCATCAAGGTTTTGTACTCCCTAAGAAATTCATGACCGCATGTCACAATAGTATGGAGATTAGAGCCCCAGCTATTCCACTGTTAAACGTTGAGCAGCTATGTTTAAGGCTGGGAGAAAAAGCCTTGATGATGACCCTAGGTCTGGACGTCCCTCAACTTCCGTCAATGAAGATTCAGTCGAGGAGATAGAAACACTTATACTGACAGATAGTCGTATTACCATTGCTGAACTTGAGGAACATTGATGTGTAAGCCATGGATCCATTGAAACATCTATTCATAAACATTTACAGACAGATAAGGTATCTTCTCGTTGGGTGCCAATGTTTCTAAATTCCGATCTTAAGGAAAAAAAGAACTGACATTGCCAGAGACAATTTAGAGCTAAATGAGGAGGAATCCGTCAAATTCAAAACGAGATTAATGACACGTGATGAAACATAGGCCTACCACAATGAAGACCGAGTCAAAACGTCAATCCATGGATTGGCACCATTCCACTTCTCCGGCACCAAAGAAATTCAAGCCTTCAAGATCAATGAAGAAGGTTATGGCCACTGTATTCTGGGATGCAAAGGGTGTGATCCTTGTTGATTACTTAGAAAGTCAAAAGACGATAACCGGTGCCTACTATGCTTCATCGCCTGATGGATTATTTCAAAGAAAAGCGGCGAGGAATGCTGACTGCTGCAGTTCTACTACTTGATGACAATGCCTCTTCTCACACCTGCCGACCTGCACAGGTTGCTGTGCGACAATGTGGGCACCCTACATACTGGCAGCAAGTGATTTCCACCTGTTTCCTAAACTAAAAGAACACCTTGGTTGAAAACGCTTTGACGTCAACGATGACATCAGGGTGGAAAACATCCTCCTGACTGGAACTGAAAAACTTACCTATCGATATGAGAAGTATACTGGTAAGCAGGGAGGTTATGTTGAAAATAAAATGAAAAACACTTTCACATTTTTGGGTTTGGTTGTTAGGCTTAGAACTTTTTGACAAGCTCTCGTATCAGAAGTTTAACGTTACGGGGAAACACCACAGGTCAATATACATCGCACAGATATTGTACTTCAATAAAATATTCTATGACAACTGATAAACAACTTTTACGGTATAACAGATACGTCACATGCTCAGTAATGCTGGGTGGGTGGGATGGGGGTATTATAACCGTCGTGTGAGATTGAGATGAGTCGGCAGGAATCATGAAGAAGCACATGCCAAACCATGAACGTTACACAGCGGTGCGGTGTAGGGGAGACAACTCGTGATACACCCATTCGGGTATTCGTGTAGACCTGGCTAATATCAACAAAATGAAAACTGAAAAGTCTCCGAAATGTCTTTTCAAATATCTTAATCTAATATACATTGTCCCCGGTATATAATAAGTTAGTAGCGATCAGTATGCTTTTCCGTTCGTCAGTGTCTGTAGAAATCGTATTATGAAAACCTTTCCACGTTCCTTTGAACATGTTTTTGCCTTGTGTATATGCGTTTGTGATATTTTGTGTGTGTGTTTGTGTGCGTGCGTGTGTGTGTGTGTGTGTGTGTGTGTGTGTGTGTGATATATATATAGAGAGAGAGAGAGTGGTTTATGTCCGTGTGTTTGTTAGTGTGTGTTTGTGTGTGTGGTTCTGTGGTATTATGTGGTATTATGTGGTGTGGTTTATTTGCGTGTGTGCTATGGTGTGGTGTGTGCGTTCCCAGGTGCACAAAAAAACATAAAAGAACATTTCGTTAAAAATTTGTATGTCTATTTTCATGTTTTAAAAAAACACACAAGTGATTACAATCATGTATATCTGACTAAGGACGACAATTAACGTCATGAACGTTACGGCAATCTATTGTTCCTGTATAGTACTATACATGTTCGTGAAGGTCGGTCCTTATTGAGCCTCGAATGCCCCTCCCACACACCACACAAGCGGTCACCGTCAGGCCACACTCGGAACAACACACCACGTGACCACAGGGCAGGAACGCCAGTGTTGCATCTTGCTGTGAACACTTCCTGCATCTCCCCCATCTGCTGGTCCTGGTAGCGGCGACGCTGCTCTTGTTGCTGCCGCTTCTGCTGTTGCTACTGCTGCTGGTGCTGTTTCTGATGCTTGAAGTGGTGATGCTTCTGCTTTTGTTGCTACTGATACTGCTGCTGTTGTTGATGATGTTGCTGACGACGGTGTTGATGCTGGTGGGTGGTAGAGTATTTTGTTCAGGCGTTCTTATGATCCCAGCTGTGTACGTCATTGTGCTTGACGACATACAGACCGTTCCCTCCGATGGCATGTTGAAAACTGTGCAGTGTAGATGTGTTTCTGAAACACAGTCGAGCACTAACATATGGTCTCAGTCACACTGAATATAGTGTGGGGTAGCCTAGTGGCTAAAACGCTGAAAATTGACATTTCCGTGTTCGCGATTTCGGGTTTTGCGGGCTAAATTTTACAAGTCGAGGCACGATTTTGCAATGCCTCATAATCGCATTCAGAAATCATAAACTTTCATTTACCCAGGATCCCAAGATTTTTGTCAAATGTCTCCTCTGTGCATGCCCTTTCACCATTTTCACCCGATCAAAGAACGCCATATTATTCCATAAATGGTTGAAATTTGTTAACTGGTCAGTGACACATTTTTTAATACATTCGCCGACATAAAACATAAATAATATTGATAAGATGCATTATGCCAAAAGCCATTTGTAATATATTTCCATAAAAAATGTATTTAAAAAATAATGAAATCTGTTGTGTCTTAGATATTAAAGCATAAATGCTTAATTTAGTGTATATTGTTTTTACTATTTCACTGGCCAGCTAAGTTGTCATCGTCTTGCCGACCGCTCAAGCGTGACATTTCAGAGGGTGCACCTTTAAACAGTATTCAGGTCTTAGACTTTAACCACTTTGGTGAAACCCACGAGCATGGGTATGGTGCTGACAAACCTAGAAACATAGCCAGGGTGAACCAGGATTGGAATCCGCGCTTTCAGGTTTCTCTCACGCCCAAGGGACGCAACTCTGTCCAGCATCACGGCGCCTGAGACGACAGGATCAACCGTGTTCCTTTCAAAGCACTGACAAGTCCGAGACATGATTTGATATTAACTTCTTGAATTTAACATAGACCTACTCCACATGAACGATGATTACTATGACGACGTGTTCCTTTCAAAGCATCGACAAGTCTGAGACATGATTTGATAATAACTTCTTGAATTTAACATAGACCTACTCCACATGAACGATGACTACTATGACTTTCATCAGAATTGTTCAACAATTCTAATTTGATATAGTTAACTCTTCAATGACTCTGTTAATGAAGGTTATGTTTATAACCTACAAACCATCCCCAACCATCTACATGTATACTGGTTCAGACGTCACTGGTGACGTCATAATACAAGACTAATAACTGGGAAGTATTAATAAAACGCCCTTCCTTAAAATAGCGGTAATTACAATATTTTGATACAATAGGTTAAAATGAATCGGTGTGGTCAAATAAAACGACATACCCGAGATCTGAGATCAGATCACAACATTTCAATATACTCACCACTGCACAGTGCTAGTGTCAGGTTGTGTTATCGCACAGACGCTTTTGCCGGCTTGATTTGCCGAACGACCGAGGACATAAAAACCGGTAGTGAGTCAGGTCTATATTTAGATAGACGGGTTTTCCCCACGTCAGCCCTGCAATAACCACGCATAACAATTGTGTCTCCAGCTCTCTGTGATTCACTTTGTTAAAAGTCACTACACACGTGAACATCCGGGTTATAATCAGCAACCCATACAAACGGGATCGTGAGGTCAGACTCGCTGATTAGATGATAAATGCCATAGTAACCATTCTGCGGAAATCGACGCTCATGATATCAATCACTTGCTTGTTTGATCCAGACTCGATTATTCATGAGAGCCGTCATATAGCTGGAATATTGCTGAGTGCGGCTTTAAACATTAAACAATCAAACAAACACACAAACAAAATACCAACAAAACATGTGTACAAAGGACAAATATCCGCACAAATAAATGATAAGATTAAACATGTGCTGATGTGATTTTTTTTATTTTGATAAAACACACACACGAAAGCAAGAAATACATGTGCTTAAATTACATCCTTATTTGGGCTAAAAAAACACTCGAACAAACCATATCGTTAATGCGGTAACCGTTCATCATTCGTGGGGCCTTGCGACAGAGATAGTAATATGGACTCATCTAACTTCTTAAACATTCTCGCACAACGTACATATGATGGGGGAGACATTTACTGGAGGCTTATGTACTGACGCTATATTTACTGGAATCTGGATGTGGGTACAAAACAAGACAAAAATTCTGAATTTTTTTTTTAAATCCGAAAATCCGAAATAAAAGTCAGATGAAAGCGACAAAAACATTTCCATAATCATAAGAAATCTGTGCTAAAAGTAAGTTGTACGATTCCGACTATATCATAAGCATGATTTCTTGAATCACTATCAAATACTAAATGTAAGATGATACCATATGTTCGCGAACGGTCAATGTCAATGTTTATTTCAATCGTCCCACGGCTGAGAGCTACAGAAACGTCAACAGTTTGATGTTATTAAAAAAAAATTGTTCCGACCGATCACAAAGAAATTCTTAAAAAAACCGCTAAAATGTGTGGACATGACAACCCGTCTGCTGTTGCTGCACTGTTCAGGCCAATGTCGTTGGGTCAGTGTGCAGTAGCTGGACGTAATTAGTCAGTTCCCTGACCGTCGAAACAAATGGCAAGTTTAACAATAGTTTCACATCATCGGGTATGTATCAACGATGTATCTGACTTTTTATGTTATGAAGTGCCGCAGGTTAACGTCAGAGTTAATGGTATTCATATTCGTATCTCTGTCACATGAACGAAACGAGTAAAAATGACCCCCTAACCATACACTGAGCCAAAGGAATGGCGTTGGGGATGGGTATTGATTGAGGTGAGAAGACCCCGGTTTTGAAGCATTTTATGACGTTAACTTATAAAAAAATATATATTTAAATCATCAACATCAACAATTTATTTACCAATACTCGTGCAACAAACGCACATTAATTCCCCAATTTAGTTCTGCCATATATATTTTAAGTCCTCACCCCAACTTTTCCGAAGAGCTGTATCTGCGCTTGAATGGTACAATGTTGCCACCACATGTAAAAGACAACGGTGGGTATTCTCCCAAAGGGAGAATGAATGTCGACCCGGATGCATAATCATGCAATGTGAAACACGACTATTGATGTGGTCAGAATAGGCGAAATGGTCCCTGGTTAACGAAGTATACATCCGAAACATGACATGGATCATGAAGTAAGCGCGGGCTTGTAACAGTTTCTCTGTCCGTACTACCTAGTAATTTTCTGATACACAAATACTTGTATTTCCATATACACGTACTGGAAATCCAAACCTCTATCCTTTTCCCAAATATTCTGTCTGTAACCATAATCAATATAAATAAAAGAGAAAAAACATAATCATAAGAGATCCCTGCTGAAAGCCGAGTACATTGTGCGATTCCGACTACATCATAATAATGTGTTAGTGAAACACCATCAGAAAGTGAAGATACCGGTGTTATAAGCATGACCTACCTTTCTCAACGTGTGTACAGAAGACATGGGTGTGATATACCCAAGAGAATGTCCCCCATCACAGTTTTAATGATCAGTTGATATGAATATCAATATATCATTTGATCGCTTGTCTCATTACTTAATTACGGCCCTATCCGACCACAACGTGAAACTGTGCTACGGTCCTGACATCGACAATATTCTGCAACGACTTTTCAGGAACCGACCATTTAGTATTCATTGTGGGGATGGGTGGTTGTGAGGTGTGTGTGTGTGTGGATTAAATATTTTTTCAGCTATAGCTACAAAATCAGTTATCTTTATTAAAAACTAAAAACTATGAGCCTGATATGAAAAAAAAAGAAAAAAGAAAAACACCTTGCAAGAATGTAATTTTTGTGGTAGGCGGTTTGTTTTTCAAAAGGCTTAAGCATATTTTTTTCCAGGATTTTCGGGGAGAATTTATGCGTTTTCGATAAAATCCCAGATTGTAATCTCTTTACCAAGAAGATCCAATGTGGATCTTAGTGACACACTTCTTTTAAGATTATGTTGTCGGAATAATATAGACTACATACCTGTGTTTACTGAAGGTTTCGAAAGGTGCTTTAATTACTTAATATTTTTAATTGAGGTATTTGAATAAAATCGGAATGTGCATTTTATCTGTGCTTACTTCCTCAACAGTTGACGGTTTCTATATGATTGTTGCGAGGACAGTTTTTCTGGAGATACATGCATGGTGGTCAGTGAGTGAGTTGGTGTGGCGGTGAGTCTATTCACAGGACACACTTCTCTTCAGGAGTCGGTCGACAGGTCGCTGAAAGAAAGAAAGGACGTTTGGTTGGGGATATTAAAAAATTGAAAAGCAAGGTTGATGGAAAAGAAAATGTTTAAAATCATTTATATACAGTAATGATTGAAGGAAGTGTCGGAAATATATCCTTTACATCATGTGTTTTGAACTCACCCCTCCCTCGGTGGTGGTGGTCACACCCCTCTTGACCACTGGGCAGTTAGGCTGAAGCTCTGCGTGTCTGTTCCACGGGTCGTCATCCGGCTCCCAGTTTGCAGCCTGACATCCGCAGTGGTAGCACGTCAACGTTGTCGTGTTGCCTGGAGGATAACATTGATACTTCCTACTTGACATTGTATGATATATATCAAGGGAGTGAGTGATTTTGCTTTAACACACCGTTGAATAGTATTTCAGTTACCGTATTCGACGTAATAAGCGCCCTCTGAGAATTAGAAATAGGAGGCTCTTATTAAAATAGTATTTTGGTGGAAAAGCAGAGTTGAAAGATCGTAAATTTCGTGGTTTATTCTGACAGCCTGAAATGTTTATATACGACAGATATATTTTTTCAGGATTTAATTGCCCTTAATAAAGGATGCATATGACACACGAGTGCGTATTATACTGGAATAAATCAGTCTTACATTGATCAATCGGAAGATTTGCTAATTGAGATTGTTCACCAGCCAATATAATAAGCAAATATCGCTCCTTTGATTATGAAAGGCAGGGCAATTAATAAATGTTATGTCAGGTGTTATCTGACACTTTATGATGATATTTTGGGTATATACTATAGGTCTTTGAATTAATGTTATAAATCTGTGTATAAAAATGTACCACAGCGAGAAAATCCGGCCTTGGCGATCATGCGGTGTCTATCAGGTGGCATTGCTGCAATGGCGTCGTGTCCAATGGCCAACGTCTGAAGTCGTTCATCACAGAACAGAGCCGGCTGCTGGGGGTATCTTCCAGGGGCTCGATAGGAGAGGTTCACAAGGGCCTGCAAACCAAAACCCCGTTTGTCTCCTTTATCAGCATGTGCCAGCAGAGAGTTTACTTCATCTGGACCAAGAACAAATCCATTTGGAATTCGTGCGAGATCGACATCCAGCAGTGAAAGTGACGTCTTCATTTTCATGAATCTGTAAATAAAACAAAACTTAAAGTCGATTAAAATTGATGTTATATATATATATATATATATATATATATATATATATATATATATATATATGTTACAGGAAATAAGTATAATCAGTGATTAAGTCTAATGACTGAAAATTTCAGTGATTATGTCTAATAACTGATTCACTCGGTGGTTATGTCTAATTACTGAAATCTTCAGTAATTAGACATAATCACTGAAATGAACCAAGGGATTTTATACTTGTTTACTAAAAGCATATCCCTGCCTTGTTTTTATAATGTGTGCTAGTTTTGAAATTAGATTAGCTATCAAAGTAAATACAACCTCCTGTAACCAGATACCTTACACAAAAATCACAGAAATAAGCTTAAACAGTTCAATCTTTTATTTCATAAAATGGTATGACGTGAATGGTATGACGTGAATGGTTTGACATGAATAGTATGACAAATAGCAGTCAGATGGAAACTCAGGAATGTTTATTTGCACATGAAAGACTTGAATGAAATCTAGAATTACATTGCATCTTGGCCTTAAAACATTTGCAGCGATTGGTCTGACACCGTTTAGTTCCAACACAATTACACCTTACAAAGCCTTGACCACCACAGACTGAGTCAAGTTGAAACGCTTGACGCAAAGAGCGTTCGATCGGTATTGAAATCAGTACTGAAACTGGACGAACTTAAGTCCTACAGTCCAATCACTGGTGTCATTGTCTCCAAGCCAAGCAACTAGAATGTCTTTAATGTCACAGTTCGCCCTCTCTACAGAACCTTGGCTTTGGGGATGTCGAGGCTTTCCGTTTGTTTACAGGAGATTGGCTTAGGACAGGACAGCCTTCTCACAAGTTATTACAAAAAGGCAGGGATATGCTTTTAGTAAACAAGTATAAAATCCCTTGGTTCATTTCAGTGATTATGTCTAATTACTGAAGATTTCATTAATTAGACATAACCACCGAGTGAATCAGTTATTAGACATAATCACTGAAATTTCCAGTTGTTAGACTTAATCACTGATTATACTTGTTTCCTGTAACATATCTTTATATATATATATTTACTTCACTGTTACAGAAAACATAACATTTTGTTCCGTGCATACACCAAACCAGCATTTATCCGCATGCAGTAATTATGGGAAAGTTACCTCAATAGTTTAGAGATACTGCATATACACAACACAATAAGGTATAGCTGATACGCTGCTGATAGCTTCCGATAGCTGACTGCATACAGATGGGTGCAATGCACAGCCGACTTCATACATACTGCTGTTACGCTAACACGACAAACATGGTGACTCGTACCACTCAATCACGTGACGAGTCACGTTTAGAATGAGATTTCTAACTGGAGCGTCCTGTGTTATTAATAGTCTTGCAACGATCACCTGGGAAAACCCAGTGCGACAAATGTAGAACGCAGAATGTATGTATTTAGCAACTCACACGAGCAAGATTTATATACTGCAAGGTAGGGTATATATCTTTTGGCATGTCTGTATACGTAATAACGATGAGCTTACACATGTTCAAGTTACACAAATCGCAATGAAAATAATATAAATATATATAATACCTATTACTTCGAGCTCACACATTTCTCAAAGTATTTACACATCTAGGATATAAATATCTGAATGCATATATGTGCGAGCTTACATTTGTCAATATATAAACTTTCGCCTGTTGACCACAGGAAATAGGGATAAATGGTAAAATCATGACGACACAGAAATCCTTGTATATCACTTATTGTACTGGAAAATGCATAACTATAGAACCAGACTACTCCGGAGCGCGAATAAGCGTGTTTCCTGTATAATGGCTACACAGAAGAGAAAGCAATCAATACTCACACGTGCATTGGTCGCAGGCAGAGAGAGGTGGTCCTGGTTCAAGCTGAATGGTTGAGGCTTGCAGTGTGACACGCCACTCAGTGCGTCATTACATCCCTAACTGGTATTTATATACCTGACATGTCCAGACGAGTGATATGTAATGTAATCATAGCCCCAGCGCACAGAGCGGGACCACGATATTCTGAATGCCGGAGTATTTATATACCTGACATGTCCACACGAGTGATATGTAAGGTAATCATAGCCACAGCGCACAGAGCGGGACCACGAGAACAGGCACAGACATGGGCTGTGTATTTTGTGTTATGACATCGGGCGTAAAATGTGAAATACTGTCATGGATTGATTGCATCACTTACTCTGTGTGTGTGTGCGTGCGTGCATGTGTGAGTGATGGTAGTGTGTATGTGTGTTGGGATGAAGTGTGTGCGTGCGTGTGTGTGTGAGTGAGTGATGGTAGTGTGTATGTGTGTTGGGATGAAGATTGTGTGTGTGTGTGTGAGTGATGGTAGTGTGTATGTGTTGGGATGAAGTGTGTGTGTGTGCGTGCATGTGTGAGTGATGGTAGTGTGTATGTGTGTTGGGATGGAGTGTGTGTGTGTGTGAGTGATGGTAGTGTGTATGTGTTGGGATGAAGTGTGTGTTTGTGCGTTCGTGTATGAGTGATGGTCGCGTTTATGTGTGTTGGTATGAAGTGTGTGTGTGTGTGTGTGTGTGTGTGTGTGTGTGTGTGTGTGTGTGTGTGTGTGCGGTTGTGAATGAGTGACAGTAGTGTTTATATGTGTTGGGATGAAGTGTGTGTGTGTGTGCGTGTATGTGTGAGTGATAGTAGTGTTTATGTGTGTTGGGATGAAGTGTGTGTGCGCGTGTGTGTGTGAGTGATTGTAGTGTTTATGTGTGTTGGGATGAAGTGTGTGTGTGTGCGCGTGTGTGTGTGAGTGATTGTAGTGTTTATGTGTGTTGGGATGAAGTGTGTGTGCGCGTGTGTGTGTGAGTGATTGTAGTGTTTATGTGTGTTGGGATGAAGTGTGTGTGTGTGCGTGTGTGTGTGTGAGTGATGGTAGTGTGTATGTGTGTTGGGATGAAGTGTGTGTGTGTAAATATGTGTTTCGGGGGAATAAAGTGTGTGTCTATCTATGTATGTGTGTGTGGGGTGTGTGTAGGTTGGGGGTGGGTTGGATGCGTGTATCCTTATCTGCATTCAGCTCATCGTGAATATGTGTATGTGTTCAGAACACATAGATTACAGAAACCCCCCAAAAGAACCTGTGCTAAAATACTTTTACCTGTAGCAAACACCAGGGCATCGAATATCGAAAATATAATGTTTTTCATGATCCACGCATTCAGGGCAGGATGATCTGAAATAAGCCAGATCATCCGATCTTCATTGGGAATTTCATTGTAGTCATCTCTCGAGACATGCCATGACCATTCTGTCCGATCAATATGTCAGATGTTATATTGTAATATTTTTAAGCCCTTATCACTTCCAAGGCGGAGAACACAGAGAATGACATTCTTACTTTCTATCCATATGTAGAATTGAAATCGGGTCGTAGACTTTAACCATTTATCCCTGAAGGGTTGTAAGTATCAACTCTTATGCGTTTCGACACACCCTTTGCTCTCAGGACGTACACCGTACGTCTAAGTAAAAATGAAAAGAATCCTTTGCTTCATGTCTCTGGTATTCTTTAATCAAAACTTAATATCACATTATTTGAAAGACATTCAAACATCTGTAAAACATCAGATGAGTTCATGAACGAAACAAATTTCCGTATCACGTGTCACCGGCTAGTCCTCACACTGCCCCTGATGGGCGCGTGACATACGTCACAGGTACTGGAGATGACGCCACAGTCGGCACAACACACCACGTGACCGCACGGCAGGAACACGAGATTGACCTCGCGCACCCTGCACCGCCTGCACCTCCCCCACTTCCGGTTACTTGACCCATGAGACCCCCTGCTGGGGCCATGACCTGCCGCATGTTGCATGGATGCATCCTCTCCAGTACCTTGTAAATAATAACAAAATATGGTACACACATAACCTGATATTATTTGACCAAACATGAACTATGGACCACATCAGATTCTCACGTTGATTTGACCTTAGCCCCATGAGAGCATTTGTCCATAAATAATTTGAAAATGAATAACGCAAGCATAGGAATTGATTAACACCATTTAATTTATCTATTATAATATCAATACCATACATAATTAGTCGCATCATCGATGTGAGCAAATATTTTTGCACATCAACGATGTAATGAAATCGGACAATCGCTATGGATCGATAGATCGATGAATCTTTTCGCCAAAAGATGGCGGCTGCTACAGAGGTGAGGTGAAATTGGGTTTAACGTCGTGCCAAGATTATTGCACTTATATAGCGACGTGCATGCACGTGTGTGTGTGGCTGCTTGTACTAGTCCGGACTGATGCCGATTTATAGTGCTAGCCCACTGGGATACCATGCCGCAGTTTAACATGAATACTCCACGCAGACAAAGTATACTGACTCCGAGCCGACCAGTCCTTGTTTAAGCCCCTTAATGCCGAGCGCCTGACAGGGTAACAACAAGAACCATCTGTTAGCGTCTTTTGGTATGACGCGGCCTGGGATCGAACCCCGGACCTTCCGCTCTCCGGGCGGAAGCTCTACCACTAGACCACGGAGGCGGTCGGCTACTACAGAATGCGCACGACAGTGTGGACGTGCGTAGTGTCTCACCTGTATACAGCCCCAAGAGAAGCAGCAATATTCTGGAGAGCATGTCGACTGTGCGAGGTTTTACGTGCATGTGATACACAACTAGATTCACCCTACTCTTTACATGAACATGTGTCATATCTAATAATAACCTATAGTCCCGTAACACTAAAATAGGGCTGTCGTCAGATTGCTATTGACATGAATAACAAAAAGGTTTGGCTGTAGGTTTATATGTAATATAAAATGATAGAAAGGTTTCTATTTATCAGATGCACAATAACGGTAAAAACTCAGCGAACTAGTCAGACTCGGAAGCAGTTCCATGTTAATAATGATACAATTTTATATTTCTTTGGCACAACATTTTGCTTTTGATTGGTATGTCATAATTAGATATAGCTTGCAAAACTCATATATACTTATGTTTAAAAGTGATACGTTATGGAGACGTTAAGACCAGTTCAAATGATGGTCACATGTTAGGACGTCTTCCCGGTGGAATGTGCCCAAACGGAACTTAAGTATTCGCGGAGAAAAGCATGTAGAATCATGTCAGCATGATACAGTAAAAAACCCAAGGAATAATCGATATGGAGTAGGATACAAATACAGTAAACTACGGTTATAGCGAACTTAAAGGGACTACTAATTCTAATTCGTAATAACCGTAGTTCGTTATAAGCATATGTATAACATCTATATAGAAAATTGACGGCACCAAGAAACAGTTCGTTATATCCGACAGTTCGTTATAAGGGTGTTCGTTATAAACGTTGTGTACTGTAGTTGCTTCCGAGTTATCAAATACGATACTTGATGGCTATTTTCGCAGAGTTCGAGATGGTAACATGATCGTGACCAAAAGTGATTGTACAATGGAGATCACTGGGTTTGCACTATCACCATTCCCCGGTATAATACATGACTGCTTATATGACAACCAATACCGAGACTCCACTATATAAAACATGTCAATACTAAGATACTTATATCAACATATAATACATGACTGCTCACAACCAATACCGAGACGCCACTATATAAAACACGTCAATACTAAGATACTTATATCAACATATAATACATGACTGCTTACAACCAATACCGAGACGCCACTATATAAAACACGTCAATACTTATAAACTTATATCAACATATAATACATGACTGCTTATAACCAATACCGAGACTCCACTATATAAAACACGTCAATACTAAGCTACTTATATCAACATGTAATACATGACTGCTTACAACCAATACCGAGACGCCACTATATAAAACACGTCAATACTTATAAACTTATATCAACATATAATACATGACTGCTCACAACCAATACTGAGACTCCACTATATAAAACACGTCAATACTTATAAACTTATATCAACATATAATACATGACTGCTCACAACCAATACCGAGACTCCACTATATAAAACACGTCAATACTTATAAACTTATATCAACATATAATACATGACTGCTTACAACCAATACCGAGACTCCACTATATAAAACACGTCAATACTTATAAACTTATATCAACATATAATACATGACTGCTCACAACCAATACCGAGTCTCCACTAGATCACGTGAATACTAAGATACTTATATCAACATATAATACATGACTGCTTATAACCAATACCGAGACGCCACTATATAAAACACGTGAATACTTATAAACTTATATCAACATATAATACATGACTGCTCACAACCAATACCGAGACTCAACTATATACAACACGTGAATACTAAGATACTTATATCAACATATAATACATGACTGTTTACAACCAAACCGAGTTGCCACTATATCAAACACGTGAATACTAAGATACTTATATCAACATATATGACATGACTGCTCACAACCAATACCGAGACTCAATTATATAAAAAAACGTGAATACTAAGATACTTATGTCAACATATATGACATGACTGCTCACAACCAATACCGATACTCCACTAGATCACGTGAATACTAAGATACTTATATCAACATATAATACATGACTGCTTATAACCAATACCGAGACTCAACTATATTAAACACGTGAATACTAAGATACTTATATCAACATATAATACATGACTGTTTACAACCAAACCGAGTCGCCACTATATCAAACACGTGAATACTAAGATACTTATATCAACATATATGACATGACTGCTCACAATCAATACCGAGACGCCACTATATAAAACACGTGAATACTAAGATACTTATATCAACATATAATACATGACTGTTTACAACCAAACCGAGTTGCCACTATATAAAACACGTGAATACTAAGATACTTATGTCAACATATATGACATGACTGCTCACAACCAATACGTAGACTCAACTAAATAAAACACGTGAATACTAAGATACTTATATCAACATATAATACATGACTGCTTACAACCAATACCGAGACGCCACTATATAAAACGTGTGAATACTAAGATACTTATATCAACATATATGACATGACTGCTCACAACCAATACCGAGACTCCACTAGATCACGTGAACACTAAGATACTTATATCAACATATAATACATGACTGCTTACAACCAATACCGAGACGCCACTATATAAAACGTGTGAATACTAAGATACTTATATCAACATATAATACATGACTGCTTATAACCAATACCGAGACGCCACTATATAAAACACGTGAATACTAAGATACTTATATCAACATAAAATACATGACTGCTAACAACCAATACCGAGACGCCACTATATAAAACACGTCAATACTTTTAAACTTATATCAACTTGTAATACTTCTGTGGTCTAGTGGAAAGAGCCTCTGTGTCTGTAAGGAATGACATGACTTTGTTCTCTGGCGTTGACGTTTTATATTAACGTGGGGGTAATGTAACCAGTATGGAGTATTCTAAATTCCAAACCTTATACTGTCCAATAATATACTTTTATAAAAAAGGAAAATCACGTGAAAGCCAGGATCCATGTAATTGATGAATTATCGTCAATTAAAACGAAATACACAAATTATCAAATACATTTCAATAAATTAATATATACTTTGTATGATAATGAAATGGAAAATTTATTTTCAATATTTTCATTTAATATTCAAATGTTCTCATAGCCCGAATGTGAGCCACACTAGTTATGATATTAATATCAGTTTGATAAAAAAGGGAAAATAAAAACCTATACTGGGCATGTATTGAAAACGTGTAGTGTTTGTTTGCAACCTTTATGATACTCGTGGATCGAAGGGCGTGATTTCAGATAAGACCTTGCTTTGTAAAATATCAGGAAAACACGCATTGCATACATAGTCCACACAGGTGATATACAGAAAGACCACATACGCTCTGTAACGTTTGGGTCCTCCCTTTTTAAACAATTACAGCCTGTCTAGGGCTGGTGTGCTGAATCCTCCGCTTCAATATTTCACTGTACTTAAAACCCAAAGAAGTCGCATAAACTAATTGATGATAGTGAGTGAGTGAGTTGGGTTTAACGCTGCTTTTAACATTATCCAAGTTATATAACAGCGTGTCAGCTTAATGTGGGAGGAAAGCCCGAAGTGATGCAGGTCTCAGACGTTTACCATTTCGGTGAAACCCACGAGCACGGGTACGGTGCTGACAAACCTAGAAACATAATCGGGGCGAACCGGGGTTCGAAAACACAATCATAGGTTTCTGGTGGGGACGCAACTCTGCACAGGGAAGCGCGGCGCCTTAGACGACTGGGCCAGCCGTGCCCCCTAATTGATGATAAGGGCTACATATTTATTTTCGATTATTCACAACTCGGAATAGATGTAGCAACTAGGTCCTGGGTGATGCGTTGTGGCAGTAAACTACATATTCATAATATTCATATATAGACAAGCTTACTTACTAGATATATGCAAAATGACAGTGCATTTGAAAACAGTGGTCATATTTAGAATTGGAACGGAATTCTGTGAGCATAGCTGGAATCCATACAAAGTTTATGTCTACAGGCCTTGTAGTTTAAGAGGAGATGTTGAAAATACAGTCGCACTAGAAAAACAGGGGTACAAGAATGTCAATGTCAGAGCTTGATCAAAAATCAAAATATGCCAAAAGCCTTTCAGGTAGTTTTTAAAACGGCATTATGTCGTCGATTATATGTGTGAGGCTGCCAACCCCCTATTTAGAGGGTGTTCGGGACTCGGTAGTGTTGTACGCGGGACGCAGATAACTTCGTATTTGGTACTCAAATTCAACATTAAAAAAAATGATTTATGCACTTTTAAGTTTCCTTTATAATATTATGTTTTAAAAAAAATACTTTTGCCGTAATTTAACTTCTAATCGCACCAGTATTCGGGATTCAGAGGTTAGCAATTAGAGTGAAGTATTTATCAATTATTTACCATTCATGAGGGCAAGTTTTAGTGGTTATTATATGGCAGTTTTCATATCATATCCCATATCACCCCGAGGGCCGATGGTTACATGATAATATCAATTTCTTGGGACCATTAAACATGATACTGTCCGAATCTTGGTCAATAATTGTTATATTGCATAATTTAAAAAAAACCCGAAGAATATTTCAAACTCAACAATAATTGAATCAGATGTCACAGGGGATGATGAACAATAAGCCATGCGTTACGCTCTCTCTGATTGGCTGAAAACATTTCTCGCCTTTGGGTCCATTGGCTTTATCACTCAGGGCATTACCACTTTTGATCGCTGCACGGCAGGATGGGTTTCAGGGGAAACCTGTGTTTTAAAGAAGGTCGCGTGACCCTTTCTCAACCAATGAAAAGATGTAATTTGTAAATGTAATACTAGATGGTATTCGGGATTCAGTTGAGGAGGAGGTTGGCACCCTCATCTATCCGCTATATAGTCGAGCTAGTGAGGGATCCACATCAGTGTTTGGTATTTTATGTCAGTGATTGAGATGGGCTCAACGCCACGTGTTTAAGTAATATCTGAGTGTGTCAGTATAATATGGGTTTGTTTGTAGGCGGGTTGTTTAACGAAGCACGGAGATGCTTAACCTTGTCAGAATCGTTTCATGCCGAGACTGCATGTTGTCAGAAGTGTTTGCTGGCTGTTTGTTAGTTAACGCCGCACTTAAAAATATTCCAGCTATGTGACGGCGGTCTTTAAAAAATGAGCCAATGCAGTGGTTGACGTCATGAGCATCGATCTACGCAAATAGCCGTTTCGAGAATGATTATTCTTGCGTTGACGTTTGGAATATACCACTACGCATATAACTGTAAAACGCCAGGGAATTACCTATTATCATATAATGGATAGGTTTCTCGGCAGGATAAAGCCAACGGATAAAAACGATATCCGTTGGGGTCATATGCGGATAGAGATGCAAATATCAAAGGTCAAGTAGGGACTACTTTCACTGTTTATAAACAAACATGGCGTTGCCCTCGTCATTCGGCAATCGAGTTATAATTAACCATCGGGAATCTGGATAAACTACAGGGATAATTGCTATCATTATCAAAAGAACAGTCTTACATACTGAAAATCAGTGTCTAACTGTGACGTAGCTAAGGCATTTTATAAGTTTTGGCAACTTTGGAGATACAAATTTCGAAACAATTTTGCGAGGGCACGAGGCCTAGCCAAGCGGGATCAGTAGCCATATCTGTGCTTGTAGACCTCTGCGGCTTGAAACCTTCTCCACAAATTAAAGTAGTTGCATTTTGCCGAAATATGTTTGAATTGTTACCTTGTTTCGTTTTGTCGCTGTTGTGTACATCTGACTACAGCTCTTAACGTTATAACAGGACAAACCGACTGTCAACAACGTCTGACCGTGGCCGTGACGTCTCATAGACTAGTGTTAGAGTAGCTTCCCTTTGACAAAGGGCAGTTACTCTAGCGGACAGACCGATGGATTGCCGCGAAAGGCAATTTAAAACAACTGTTGTTTTGCGTATATGTTGCTTCGCCACTGTATAAGAAACATATTTCTGTTGGAACTATATTGGCTACTGTCACTGTCCGACTGACACATCACTTACCCTGTGACATAATAAATATTAATGCGCGCATTCCAGGAAAACTCGCAATGTTTCGGTAATGTTTGTGAGAGAGGGAAAGCGATTTTAAAGCACAGAATTAAAGAATGACATTATATGATAAAGAGGTTATCACGCTTGTGTGTTTGGGGATGGTAAATATCCTGTTTTAGGAATAAACACTATGTATTCAGCTCGCAAAGGCTCGCTAAATACAATGTTTATTCCTAATGCAGGATATTTACCATCCCCAAACACACTCGCGTGATAACCACTATTTATCCGCCGAGACATATTTAATTGGGCGTAACTGGCAAATTAGCAGTGAAAAGCATATGAATGGACCAGTGAAAATCAGTGATGACACCAGGTGTTCGAGAAAAGGGTAAGTTCGTCTAACCCACCGGCTCCCCCTGCCACTCAACAACTTACAATACAAACATGTGTGTGTTACCTGACTAGTGTTAGTCATGCGACGGCGGCCTGTAAACACGATATACACAATACAATGTCGTATTGCAGTACTAAATACTGGTGTAAATCGTCGATAGCGAGTTGTTGCGTCAATACGGGAACTGCTTCCTGGTGTACAGACTCAGTTGCATTGGCTAGACTGGTCTCGTCTCAATTTTGTTCATGGATTCGTTGTGAAGAGGAGGCATGTTTTGGGCGTTGGACTGACTACATGTACAGTTGTCTTATTGTGCTCTACAACAGGTAATTTTATATCCCTGTTTATATTACATACGGATTTTGATGTTCACACGCCAGTCACAAGTGTATATATGTTCAAAATATGTGCACAAGCGTCAAAAGGGAACACAACTGTCACCTCGACTCTAACTCTGCATTCATAGACCACCCAGGGCTATTTTGGACATATATTTGTGAATGTTGTTAAAAACTTGTGTGCATATTACATACAGGTAGTGTAAACATGAAAAACTTTCTTCCTTGCAATGTGTAGCTATGTTGTGGCCCGTTGATAGACCGATATCACAGGTTGGTCGGTTGGTTGGTTGTTTAACGTCGCACTCAGCAATATTCCAAATATATGACGGCGGTCTGTAGGTAATCGAGTCTGGACCAGACAATCCAGTGATTAACATCATGAGCATCGGTCCATGCAATTGGGATCGATGACATGGATCAACCAAGTCAGCGAGCCTGACCACCCGATCCCGTTAGTCGCCTCTTACGACAGGTCTTGTCGCCTTTTATGGCAAGCATGGGTTGTATTAGATAAAGAGTATTATGTAGATGTTACATCTATAAGACTCAATTTCCGAATAGTATAGTATCATTTTACGGCAAGCATGGGTTGCTGATGACCTATTCTACCCCGGAATCTTCATAGGTCTCATAAAGATATATGTGGCCAACCATGAGATAAGGGACCTAGCTCGTGGGTGAAAAAATCACATTTTGACTTTTTATTATATTGTAAAACAACAGTATAAAAAACAACAACTCAAAATACAATTAGCAAACTCCAATTCATATTCATTACAGAGATACACGACATGAAACATATGGATTGATTTTCCGACTTATGTTTATGTAATATTTGCAGTTATTAGGCATAATGTCTGATGAATTGAATGTAAACATCTTTGCTGAAGGGTTTTAAAAAATAATGTTTTTATTACATTGCGAACTAACAGAGAGAAATAAAATATTTTTGTACAGCCCGCACAAATGGCTATTCTCACTGAAGTAAATTGACGTCAAACGTCTTTATGACGTCATAGCACAATAATTTGTATCCTCGCACCCATAAAGTCCCCTTAATCCTGGTGGGTCACATATGTCTATATTACAGGTACGCATATACTGGGAGTCAAGTATTCGCAGTTTTAATAATAGTGAGATGCAAGGTAGGTGCCATTGTGATTAGCCGTGGAAAGTGATGCGTGAAAGGACTTAATACGTTCTATATTTGTGTCATTGAACGATATGCACATGATTTACCAGGCATAGATAACTTGGTGATGGTGTTGTTGGTGGTGGCGGGCGGTATGATAAAAGGTACGTGTTAGGATGAACAGGCGGTTATCATGAAGGAGAACGTGATACGTAGTTTTTTATAATCTTCGTGGTCATTGGCACCCCTCTCGTTTATCCCGTTGTAACACAAAATTGTAACATGTCGATGCCTGAGGTTCGTCTAAAATGCAACATATGTTTTCTTATATATTTCCTCTCCCTATTCCTTAAGCATGTATTACAAACAGGTGTCAATGTTGGCTTACACTAGAACTGAGAAGTGTTCTGCTTACTCAAGTACTTGGGTTCGAACCCGAGATTCTCCTCCATTATGATCATTAGGAGTTTCCCATTGAATATGGGTGGTAATCATCACAAAGAATACAACAGGCGCAAATAAGATTTTGAACATTTATATAAAGACATGATCAACCCTGTATTCAATTCCAATTACAATAACACCATGAATTCTTGTTTTCCCGGGCCTATACCACTGGGTACAATCTTGGTTTGCCATTATTGTAACCTGTAAGTTCTCCAAATATGAACTTCATCAATATATAAAATCTATGCTCTAGTAAATCATACTTTTCAATTGGGTTCTGAACTAAACTGCCGGGAAAAATAAAGTAACCAAAACATTACAACCGTTATCAAAACGTTACTTGCTTGAAAACAGTCGCCGAAACAGTGCTAACTGAAGACCCAAAACACAACTATGATACCCGTGTCAAATACATCACTATCGAATTACCACTGCTTGTATAATTCATTTTTAGCCATCACCAAACATGGGTGTATAGTTTCCTTTGCTCGGAAGTTTAACTGAATATAACAAGATAGCATACAATTATCATGAACACGTTCACTTCCTTGTCATGCTTAAATATATGTTTCGTACAAACAGGTAGCGGATACGAAGAGGACAAGCGTATTTCACTAACACTACACAAGTTGAAAATGCGGTGGATATATGTTGTTACAGGTGTTGGAGTATACGCCTGGGTCCATTTCTGTTTAGCAGTAAGTAAGTACGAAGCATCCATAATATATCATATATTATACAGATGTATAGGACATGCACTCCTGGTGATGATAACTAAGCTGAAGTTTTGATGCCCAACAAATGGTTACTTTGAAGTATATTTAGATACATTCGTTATTCTTTAACCTGATTCTTAAAAATATATATAAAAATGTTAAATGGAAAAATGGACTATTTTGTATTTGACAGCTATCTTTCAAATTCAGTTATAGAGAGGTAGGGATTGCTCACAGTTATTGTCGTAACATGATCAAAATGATAACATTGATGCTGTGGGAACGACAATTTGACATTCTGGAGCGAGGGGAACTAGGATCTTGTTTAAAGACTACATCAACAAAACCAGATCTTCTGTTATATTAAAACGATGACACTATACATTAAAGAAACCATCTGGCAAAAGCGTATTTTTTATGACTCTTCATTCTTGAACAGTCTGAGGCACAGTCACTTTGGTAAAGCATTTCTAGGACAATATAATATTATGTATATCGATAAATCCCAGAACCCCCCACACCCACCCACCTCACAGAATATCAAATGGTCGGGGATTAGGTGAACTTATAATCCAGAAAAAAATTTCTCATGTGTTCATAAACCTTGAGCGCTTTGACAACTAGTATCAGTTTTGCAAATGCTGAAAAAAAGACGAAATAAGATGTTCTGACACTTGTATCGACTCCTCTGTCAGATTCAGCGAAATCTTGGAGAACACATATGAACACTGAGGCAAAAATAACCAGAGAGTAAATGATTTGTAGTGAGGACATTCAATGAAGGTAATTGGTTGAGGCACCAAGCGATTGAGAGTTCAGTGTTCCCGAATATAAAGTCCCGTTCCACGTAAGGCTAACTTTGCGCAATGATTGCCGTTAGCCTATGTGACAGTATTCGATCGCTTTATGAAACGGATATAATCAGATGCACGGCATGCAGTAGACCTCTTTTAGACGCTCAGAAACCTGAAACGACAGAAATCAATAATATCGATTTAGGAATAAGGGTAACTCAATTACCGATTGCTAAAACGGTAAACAAGGATAACAAAACTAGTAAACAAGCGTCGTCCGAGTGAATGTTCGCATATGGAAGTGTAATGATCCAGAACAAGTTTGGTTTTCTCTTTCTCTCGCAACAACTTGCTTGAGGTTAACCTGTCAGCCCTAACTACGAACGCATTACACCGATCAAGTAGCATACAGTAAAACCCTCGAACGTAAACATGCGTCATGGGAGAAGTAAATGTAGATTTCTTTTAACGAACAGTAAAACCCTGATAATCCAGACTGAACAACTTCAAGTGAAATCAACTTTCCAGATTACTGAATAAGTTCAGAGAAATAGTGTAACATTACATGTACTTACACATAATGAAAAAGGAGAGTTGTGTTTTTATGGTCTGAGTCGAACATGAACGACGACATTGTTGTGTTCAGCCTATATACACTGAACAACTTAATTTGTTTCTTTTGGTCATTTGACCAAATATTACAAAAAAATCGAAAATGCGTTCTTTTTAAATTTGTCAGTATACGACTAAATGTACATTTTACGTGTTCGTCTGTATTTCCATCGGCGATGTTTTTGGTGGAGGCATACTTGTTGCCCAAATTACGGCGACTGCCTTTTTGAAATGATTCCGTGAAGGGCTGTAATATATTGCTTGTCTCCAAGTGGGTCAAGTACGTTTTACCACGACTACTCAGTCGTTAACATTGCTAAAATATGTGTATGTATTTCGACGTTCTACAGTTGCATTTACGGTTTATCATGTAACAAACCACATGTGTTACGTGTAAATGTGTTGCAGGTATGGATATATGCAAAGAAGGCTACGTGAGAGCACCCAGCATCACTCTGACGATAAATTTGACTTCATTCACCAATTGTTGTTGTCATCTTGAATTTCGAAGAAATCAGACAGTGTGGAGAAATATGACTGTGGGCTGTGGAATAAAGCTTGTACATAATGCATCATTCCTTGACAAAAACTGTACAAGTAGAGGCACCATTTCTCAGCAAGTCAAACTGGGTGAAACTGCTCTAGATCTGTGTGTTGTTCGGGAAGATGGCCATATCCAGAATGAGGCACGTAATGGCGAGCTTATATTGACAACAACAATGCAAGGTGTTGTATTAACTGTGAAACATTCCCAGCGTCAGATACCTAAACTAGTTTTATCACCGATGAATTCTTTTCTGAAGTAAATGATGATACAACATTTGTTCTTGGTTTTCTCCCTGAAACTTATTAATGATTATATGACACAGCGGTGTTATACCGATCACAGATGTAAGTTTTGTAATTTGCTTCCTTTTATGTTGTTTAATGTTACAAAACAATGACATATGTTGTAAATACCTGTAGGTAACTGCTCAGAAATTGTATTTCCTGAAGCATAGTGAAGTAAATATCAGCTAGAGACTTTTAATGACAATCATATATTTGACAAACTGAAACCTTGTGTGTCAAGTATAACGGTTCCCGTTGTGCTAAACTGCAAAGCGGGGGTATTTATAAGCATCAAACTGATTGTTCTCTCCTTGTTCGCTATGATATTATTATGTCAAATAGATATAGGCATGAACTGCAGTGGGCCTACAACAATGGATGCAAGCACTTATTCCACTCAGCCAGATCGGACCGAGATAGACACAACTACAGAAAAGTCGCCAGGTAATTGAGAGGCATTCTTTATATTATTAAGGTTTCCATGAGCGCAAATCAATATGGCACGTTTATATAGAGATGTATTACACATGATAGCATTCAACGCAATGAATGCCTATCATACATCAATCCCCTGAATAGACAACTGAAGGCATTTTGTACGTTGGTATTAATTCTTGAGGTATGGAAACGGTAATCAACAGATGAGTAGACAGAAAATCTCTGTATTGCGATTAAATAATCCGAGGCGGAAGCGGGCAGGCTGGGTACAAGCCAAATCATTGAACCTCCGCAGCGCGACACACATCGGGACGCCGTTTTAATTCCGTTGTTTTCGTTTAGGTGACGATTTAGCCTACCTTTTTCCATCGTCTGTTTTACGTTTTCTTCAGTTTTTCAAATTTCATTTCGGCCAAGCACTAATTTTGAAATTAAGCATGTCCCAAAGTATCAAAATCTGCATAGTTGCTTATTTCCCTATACCCTTTAATCGCACCTTACAGTGCCACTAAAATCTTATGCAGTCGATGATCACGACTGTGTTTAGAACGCCTTGTACATTGCACTGGAGAATGGGAAATGATTTCACAGAATTTGTTTAGTCATTTCTTTCTCGAAGACTTTGAATTCATATGGTCATGTGCTAATTGCCTGATGTTTTCGTCACTGTTAGACAGGATGTCCCGAAAATGATCAATAAAGTGATGCTTCCTTTCCGTGTCTAGTGATGTATGTTGCAATGTGCCACCCCCTTTCGAGTAACACGTGTTTGTTTGCAGGAAACAAAGTGACATTGTGGATTATCATACCATGTGTCGTTGGAGGAGGTGTGCTTGTCACCATTACTGTATGCACTTTGTGGTAAGAAATTACAGTATATCATTCTAGAACATAATATATCACACTGAGTCTTGGTCGTCTTGGTGAGACGCATCAAATGTATTATAGAAACAATGTTCAATTGTGATACATTCCCAGGCAGTGACTTAATCACACCTGAAAGTGATTGTGTTTCTTAGGGTAGTGATTGGAAATACCTGAAAACAATTTCAATCTGTCAGGTATAATATAATGTAAACACATGACGTCCTTGAATAGACTCACATTTGATCATGAAGCACCACCAGTGCGTCGTAATGTAATGACACTTTAATCTGTCCAGTGTGTACAAAAGACGGAGACGCAGGAATAAGCAAGCGCATATTCACCAAGGCTGTGCAGACACCGGTACACCAACGGATGACGATGATCTAGTTAGGTCAGACAACTCTCTGTACGGCGATATTCACGTCGCATCAAGTGTTCCCGACAACGCAACGAATATCCAGCCTAAAAATCATGGGGTAACAGGAAACGTAACAACATCAACTACAGACCCGGAATGTGATGACTTGTATGCTAAAGTGAACAAGACGAAACCTATGTCGTAAAAAAGCGAAACGGAGTTGACACAGTGGTACCCGAGTTTCTGTTTCCTTTAGGAAACATGTGCCTTTTAATCATATAGATTTGAATAAAATCCGCTTAAGAAGAGATAAACTTGGAGATCCCAAAGTTATGTAGGCCCTATACCTGGATAATGTTGTGATACCCACGAACAATTAACTTGCAATTAAAGTCTGAAAATTACTGAATAATGAATATTATTTTGAGACTTGGTGGAAACAATGCATTCCCTTCTGAAGTCAATGTTATTCAATAAAACCTGGTTGGTGTTTGCACATGTACTCACGTAAGTTAATAGTGCCTCAGAAAGACTTTATATGACTGCAGCATACTGGCTAACGTACCACTTACACGGTACCAAGGCTCTGGCAAATTGTCAGTCCTTACAAGCAGATATCTTGTAGATTCAGTCTTGTAGATCGAAATTGGAAATGGGCTAAGGCCATGGTACATAGTCACTCTCAAATGTGTAAATTTGGTTATTGTTAAATATAAACTCTTCGTAAAAACATATAATCGTGCATATCATATCATTGTTTGAAAATGCCTGACGACTATGAATATTCCTTCTGCTGTGATACGGCCATGAAACCATCAGGTGCAATCAGAGGCGGTTATTGTATTTGAAAACCTCTGAGTAACTAATCAGAATCGATTCATGGTAAGAATTTTATATTATTGGCCTTTGTTTGAACACTTGCTAAAAGTTGATCACCCTGATTACAAACACAAAATAGCTCACTAATTCTCCCACATTAACATGTTTGTGCCTGCAAAACCTGTAACACCTTTAGTGAAATACATTCTGCGAGTTTTCTACCAACTGAGTTGAAGATGAGATACACTTCCTTGTAACTTGTGATCTTTACACATACCTACGTTACAATTTGTTTCATTCTATTTCTAGTTTAGATCCCTCATTCCTACAACTTTATCCAGCAGACCAGTTTAATTATATAATGAATAGTGATTCACGATGTAATAAGTTAGCCGTTTTACTAACAAAAATGTATAAGCGTCGTTGTCTCACACTTTCTAAATATCATATCACTACCCAGTTAATCCTGTTTTAATGCCTTTATGTATATTTTATATTTTATATTTCATATATTACCTATTGATGTAACACGTACATTCGTGTCTCGTGGGCAATGCTGGCCGGTGAATGTATTTTTAATTCATGCCATATTTGCCATGTTTCTGTTTTTATGCATCCAGTGACACGTTAATAAACTATTTTCCTATTCTTCTTCTTCCTATGTAGTCCCATGCCTACATTTTGTATACCCACCTTGACAATATGTTATCTGAATGAGGAAAATACTAGTTTCACACATTTTGAATTCAAAAGCGTAATCAGTTAAAACGATTGTTTGGTATTTTTGCCTATAAGAGATAAATTGTTTTGTTGTATATGAAAGGCTAACGGGAGCCTAACTTACATAGGTGCAGAAACGTAACACGACCTTCTTGTGTCCTCCAAAATACTGATTCACATACAAATGGCTTTTGTCACATCCGGTCACAATTGGTTAGAGCTGAACATGAAATTCTGATGAGGATGTTAAATTTTAAATCGGTCTATATTGCATGGCATATAACTCAGAAGATAAACAAATACAGTGACAGGTGTGTCACCGTTCCTATGGTTTTCTATCTACCTGGCAGAAAGGAGGTCACAGCTGAACAAAGCCAGTTCAGATGCGTATTTGAATACAATATACGAGGTCAGCATGAATAAACTGACACTCATGTACTGCTTTGCTTGTTACAAGCACTATATTTGTATAATATTTGTTTAAGGGCCCGCGGAGCATACTAAACAATGGGTTGAAAAAATATGTCGGAGGAAAGACACACTTGTTCCTGGATGGCCTTAATAAGTGGGCTGTGAATCACTCAAACATTGTTTGGTTCGTAATTGTGAAGTGAAGACAATTGTATGTTTTGAGTCAGTGACCCAAGATATATTCGGCTCAAAAAGAAGCAGGTCAACAGTTCGCATTTCAAACATGCCATAAAAAATACTGCATGCAGAGGGAAGCCACGGTTTCGTTGTACAAGCGAATTTCTTATATCAGAACATTCTCGTGAAGACAAACCTGTACCCTAACGATCATGTGTACAAAGCGTGTTTTAGAACTATTATATTATGTTCAGATTCTAGCTTAAAAGAATGAAATTATATCACCAGTACATACAAAATATATATCACTGAAGACGATGTGGTACGCCACCGCTGCAGTATTCACGCCTCACTGATATCATGCAATGGGATTGTACCCAAGTAGAGAATTACAGAGAGATAAAAGAGAGAGATAAATAGTTTATTTCTGTGTCTCGCATTAAAACTCACAACAATAAAATGACAATGTTGCAATCGGATAAGAGTGTTATGCCCAGCCATACTGGCTGGACACATGTATGCCGGGTAGAACATGTAACCCCTACAGGCGAGTTGAACACTTCCTGCTGTGATATTTCATTGTAGTGTTACCATAACCATGAAGTTTTGAATGCTTCAATAGGAGACGGAGTTCATACGTTCAGCTCGGCCACAAAGCAATACTAAATACATGCTGGTCACAAACAGTGAGTGAGTGAGTTTAAGTTTAAGCCACATTGCAGCCATATCGTGACTATCAACATTATAAATACTTTGAAACTTAAATACAAACCTGCCAACGAAGGACAGTCAAATAACTAGATTTATCACAGAAAAAGATATGAAATTAGTATGGAATCATAAAAAAGGATAGCACTATACATATTAACAATAACATGATAAAAACGGGCTATAGATCGCCATCCTCTGAGGTCACAAACAATATACTGCATACAAACTCTACCCGGTCTGAAAAAAGTAACTAAACTCACCGGGTGCGTTCATCACATGGCCATACACTGTAAAGCTATATTTATGTCACGATTAATCCCGTTATATGATGTTGAAGACTGTCTCGATCTCCGACAGTTGAGTGTTACAAATAACACAAATACTACAAGTACTGATGACTGTTACACTACCAGTACATAATTTAACTACAAATTATAGTAAGTATAATAAACTCTCTGTTATTCAATTCAATTTTTTGAGATTCGTCTCTTCATAATAATATAATAACCACAGCAATAATACTTACTGAAATAATAAAAATAAATGATTATAATGATGGTAAAAACAACAAAACTTAAAAAACGTCAACGCCAGAGAATAATAAATCTAGTATTCGACGAAACAGATTCCATAGGACATAAAAGGCAAATTAGCGAAGAAAATTATATGAATTGATGACTGAAAATCAGTGATGACACAGGGTGTAGGGTAGGGTAATCAAATCCTGCCCTACCGGAAGCACCCGCCATTCACACAACTGGCATAAAGAAACCTCTGTAAAATAACACTATTAGCAATATATATATATATATATATTGAAACTGAATATAATAAAATTAATATAGTGTCCAAAAGAAACGATACCAACTTATTTTCAAAATTGTTTTTTACTAAGTGAATTGTCTAGTATGAAAACATGCCAATTCGTATTGCACATCCCAAACACAGCATAGTCGATAAAAAATACCGGGAACACGTGATCACTTCCGGGAAAAAACGTAAATTTCATGAAAGTGACATTTCCCTCTCTAGCATGTTCTGCACGTGCATAAAAACTGTATAAAACGGCTGATCAGACACGTTGATATCACAGCAACAAAAAGAACACAAGATATGCCACGTTTGACAGCCATCGAGAGAGAGAGAGAGAGACGTTGGAATGGTCCAACAAGGAGCGTCACACGTCGACGTCGCCAGAAGGTTGGGCTGCGCACGCATCACTATCACCAGGTTGATGCAGCGGTTACGTCAGACAGGTCAGACGTCAGACAGGCCCAGGAGTGGAAGACCACGAGTAACCACGCCCCGTGAAGATCGTTACATCCGGGTATTACACCTGAGGAACCGCACCGTAACAGCGACGTCCACGGCGGCTACAGCACTGGGACACAGGATCAGTCGACAGACCGTCTACAGGAGACTACGGCAGTATGGTATCCGGCCACGTCATCCCTACCGCTGACCGCTCCTGACGCCTCGACACCGGAACAACAGACTGATCTGGGCCAGACGAGTTCGACGTTGGCAGGGCGGGACTGGGCACGTGTTATGTTCTCTGATGAGAGCAGATTCCTCATCTTCAGAAACGATGGACGGCAGCTTGTATACCGACGATTTGGTGAACGTTTGGCGCCTAACTGTATCCAACAGGTCCGGCCGTTTGGAGGTGGAGGGTTAATGGTTTGGGGTGGCATATGTGGTGACGTCAAAACGATGCTTGTCGTAATTCGTGGAAACCTGAATGCACAGCGTTATCTTGATGACATCCTACGGCCTGTTGTGGTGCCCTTTATTCAGCAACAGCCTCGTGGACTCCTTTTCCAACATGACAATGCAAGGCCACACACAGCAAGATTGACACAGAACTTCCTTGCCAACGCCAACGTACAGGTTTTGCCATGGCCCGCATGTTCACCGGACATGAATCCCATCGAGCACTTATGGGACCACCTCGATCGGCAAATCCGACGTCGCCGTGTGCCTCCAGTCAACGCCCAGGACTTGGAACGATGTCTCCTCGAGGAATGGCAACGCATCACTCCCAACGTCATCAGTCCGTAGGCGTGTTCTGGCATGTATTGATGCTCACGGTGGACATACCCGCTACTGACATGACTTTGAGACGTGTGGTGTGACATTTCCCGTTGTTTCTGTGATCAGTGCTCTAACGAAATGTTCATTTTTCGACCCCACCCATCTTTAAAGGCTTGTCATATTGGTTGTACAGATTTTATTGAAATGAAATTTTTGTACAGATGTTGTGAAACACCAATCCTAAACTTCTGCATTGTTTAGTTTTTCTTTTATGTCGTTGCAAACAGGTGGTATCGTTTCTTTTGGACACTAGTTTAGTTGCAAGGTGAAAATGTTAACGTGGGTTCAAATAGTTAATTCCTCTGTAGACAATCAAAACACTATATTAATCTCTTTCGATTTAGAGATACCAGCTAGAGCGATGATTTGTGTTGGCCGCACCCAACAATATCCCAGCTATATAATTGCCGCATGTAGATAATCGTTCTGAAAAAGATAAACCAGTGTTTGATATACTGCGCCTCATGGATATGACGT